AATAATAATAATAATAATAATAATAATAATAATAATAATAATAATAATAATAATAATAATAATAATAATAATAGATTATAATAATACAAATAAATAAGATCAGTTATTGAATATAATTATGATTAAAATAATAATTATTATTGCTATAATTGGCAGAGAAATTAATCATTGTTACAATTATGATGATAATTTTATGATCCTTATTAAATACTATAGGAAAAATATGCTTCTGAGTTTTATTTGATGGTTATGTAAATATTCACTTGAAATTTTTACCGAAAAGCAAATTAACTAGCCTGTTCAGAAATTAATTGGCATATGTCAGTGATAAACAGCTGATATTTGCAGGAGAAATTGATGTCATTATATAAAAACTAAACTTTTACTTTCTAAAACTACAAATTATTTTCACATTTGTCTTTCTGTTTTTTTTGTCTTTCTGTCTTAAAATTTCAAAAAACTTAAACTTTGAGGACTTCGTTGTAAAATTTCGGCAAATGTCTAGTCTGCTCGTTGAATAGCGACTATCAAATGATAGGAGTTTTATTGCAGTAAGTATTTCTAAGCCATTTATTAATTATCTTGATAATATTATTTTATTGCAATTACATCATTTCTTGTTCTAAAATGACAATTAATCATATGGCATTAGCGAATGATATTTATCAATAATTATCAAAATTGTCAAAAACCATTGTTATCACTCTTTACCAACCTTATCAAAAAAAAGAAACTGTGAAAAAGCTTACCAGCATCAAGTATTATGCAATCAACAAAAAGTAATGGGAAATGATAAGAATAAAATTAGCCTTTTCTATACCATGTCACATTTTATTTTTGCTAAACTGATAAGTGAATTGACAATTATGTATGTTGCAATGACAATTCAAGTGAGGATGATCTAATTTTGATATTCACTAAGACTGTTTCACCAATAAAAACTCTAAATAATTGACTTTAAAAAATTTCTCATTATCATCCTTTTAGCGCAAATGTCGCATAATTTTATTATTTCCTTTACTGCCTTTATTACTAATAATTAAAAAAAAAAAAGAAAAGAAAACTGGAATTTAAAGGCGACAATTATTTATGACACATGTATTTTCCATGTTTGTAAAGTGTTTCCACCAAATACCAATTAATTAGCACAAAGATTGATGGCGTTTACCTTTCGTACACTTTTCTTTTATATGAGTTTTGTTTACATTTATTTCTTTTTTTGCCATTTGAACCATCTAACTTCGTTCGAAATTAAATTTTTAAAATTATTTCCACCAGGATAAGACTTAATCAAAAGTAATTCACACGATCTGTCAATTTCATAGAATTGACATCATGAAATTATAATACTCAAATCTTTAATTTATTTCTAGAATTCGGAACTTAATGACATAATTTTTCTCATTATTTATTTTTCTGATTCATTCTATCTATAATTTATTGATTAATTCATTTCAAACTGATCTAATACAATTGTAATATTTGCTGGAAAATTTAAATTTTCATTATAACTTTTGAAATTCTCAATTAAATGCATTATTTTGCAGGTGAAATTTATCTTCCTGAACTCGTTTGAATTGATGGTGCAAATTAATTTTCTTTTTCAATTTACATTAATCATAAATCTTCAATTTAATCGCTTCTAATGACCAAAGTATAATTCCAAGGATATAAATAGAAAAATGTGCTTTTCATTCGTTGGACAACTTTTATTTGGTATCTTAATGGTCATTGCACTTGGGTTGACCACTGTATCAATGTTTCTACCTGGTCATTACTTTTGGAAAAATTTGTTATCTTATTTTTAAAATTTGCAAATTATGCTGTACACTTTTTTTAAAACGGAAAAAATGAATTACATTGTAATGATGATTTGATTGGAGCAAAATATCACTTCACTAATAACTTTAAAATTTGATCAATTTTTTCATGGAACTTTTTCAATTATCATTAACTTAACTTCTGAAATAGGCTTAATTAGAATAGTAAGTGTGAAATTAAGAGGTTATAATTTCAGTGACGATAAAAAACTATCAATTATTTCAAACTTCTTTCTCATTTGATATTCAATGACATACCAAATCAAATTTTTTTAACGCCATGGAGGAAAAAGAAAACAAAATTTAAATGTTTATTATAAATGTTTTGTTAAAAAATAACATGATTAAGTGATTTAGAAAGGATTACATTAATTTAATTAAAAAGTCGTTTAACAAAATTACTTGAAAGTTGATTTCAATTAATTTTTAGGCTTAAAAGAATTGCACGAAGCAGCGGCAAATGTAAGCGAAGATTTGACACATTTCAGAATTCCGAAAGAATTTATTTCATCCGAATCGTTGTGCCGAATTGCATCAACTGACAATGCCGCTTCTAATGATGAAACTGTTTCCGCCAATTTTTGCAAATATTGGTTTTATGTTAGTAATTCGAGAATTATTGGAAAATTTAAATGAGAAAAGTTTGAGATTGTGGAATTGTTCGATGAAATCGTAATTGATACTCTTCCGAATATCTTGATTCTGAACGATTATTTTGATCTTTTCGATTAAGATCAATGATTGCGATTAAAACCAAATCCAAAACATTCATACCGAATGGATAAAGCAATATTTTTCCATGTTTTAATATGTTTGATAGGAAAAATTGAAATAAATTCAAATTTAATCCAAATTCGCTTAAATTCATTTCGAAAAATTCGTTATTGCTTAAAATTCATTATAACTTGAAATTTACAATTTAATATTGTCAGTTAAAATTTAAAGTTTTATAATTTTTAGTAATCAAATAACTGCTACAATTCAATAAGCCATATAAGCCACATCCTGATACATTTATAATTTCAGATTATATTAAACAAAAACAATTTGAAAAAAAAGAGGACGTAAAATATAACAATTAATTAAAATAATTTTTCAGCATTTAAAAGATTGGGAAAAGATAGTGGTGATATTGATGTGCTTATCAATGATTACTGAAATGATAACAATTTGTTGGACATTAATTTCATTCTTTGGATGTTATTGCCGAAGAATATGCATGCAATTATTACCAATACTTTCATTAATTGTTGTTTTATTTCTTACATCAGCAATTATTATTTTTGCAATAAACAATCAA